AATTTATTGTTTAATTCAACAAGAGGATTCATGTAAGATTACTAAAATTCGTCTTACGTAAAGCAGTCTGTACAGGAATAAAGATAAAAAAATCGGAAAAAAGGTTTCTTAATTTATCGTTTTTCATATCTACAGAAAAATTTATATAAGAATACCAAAATTTGTCTAACGTTAATTAGCCTGTATACAAATCGAAATAAGAGTACATAATAAATTTAAAGAAAGCTTTTTACATTGGTTTATATTTACAGTCTTATTATACTTACAGAATGATTTATGTAAGATTACAAAAATTCATCTTACGCGAATCAGTCTGTACAGAAATAGAGATAATAAATTCGAAAATAAGGTAAGAATTTATATAAGTTTACCAAAATTCATCTTACGTGAATCAGCCTGTACAGAAATGGAAATAATAAATTAAGCAAAAAGCTCCTCAATTTATCATTTTATTATGCCTACAGGAAGGTTCATGTAAGATTTAAAAAATTTATCTTACGTGAATCAGCTGTACAAAGCCCCGAGATGGGAAAACCCTTTCAGACTTGTCAAACATATGTTACAATTTTTCCTCGAGTGCTTGTATCACACGCGTCAATAAAATTTCCCCCCCTGTTGGGAAAAATCGATACACACGTCCACAAAATAATTTTCACTTGAACGAATCACTAGAGAGTATTTTTAGGCGATTGTGACGTCAACACCAATCAAATCGAAAAATCTGATTTAAATTAAATTCTTCGCCTCTTTTGACTGTTTATTTGCTCCGATAATTGGATCAAAGAAACCCAAACAAAGACGAAATTCATTAAATTGAGATAAATAAATAACACTCGAGTTGTAATGAAATTTTTTCTACAGGTTTTGGGGTCGAAACGGGAGTATCATTTCGTGAATCACGCGATTCCGGTCGCGAGGACCAAGAGGAGTATTCCGCATGTGAGGAGGCTCAAAGTCGACCCTTTGGTGAGTAAAAAAAAAGTTTTTTGAGTTTTTTTTTTTTAATTTAATAAATAGAGGAGTAAAATTGGTGTAATTTGAGGCTCAAAGTCGACTGAAAAACAGTTTTTTTCCGAGTTTTAATTTATTTAAAAAGGTTTCTTAATTTATCGTTTTTTTATATCTACAGGAAATTTCATATAAGATTACCAAAATTTGTCTAACATGAATTAGACTGTATACAAATCGAAATACGAGTACATAATAAATTTAAAGAAAGCTTTTTACAT